TTTTTGGTCTTGTATTTTGACCATAGATTAGGGTTTGTGAACTTTGGGCTTGTAATTGGGCTTCATGGGCTTTGGGCTTTTGATACCCAATATTGGGCTCATTCTTTTTCTTGTAATTTTTCCTATTCATTGTATTTCTTTGACCATTGTATTTAGGTCATTAGATTAGGATTTAAGGAGGATTATTAGTTTAATTGAATTAGGCAAAACTAGGTTTAATTTAGCATGCATTTAAGTTGCATTTTGAGTCACATGTATGACGCCACCTTGGCTGAACATGTGTGACTCAAATTCAACCCTAAATGCACACTAAATCAAACCTAAATACACCTAGCACTAATGTGAACCGAACTTGTACATGTGAGTTAAGTTTTGAATTCAAATTCAAAATTTGAATTCAAAACTTGGCGCCACATGTGAAGCCTCCAAATTGGCGCCAACTGTCCCTAATTCTGGATCCATATATGCTCCCTCCTTCACACATTGTAATCACTTTTGAACTTCAGAAATTTGAGAGCATTTCCTTGCCAAGTTTCTTCCAAAAGTCACCGAGAGAGAGCAATCACTTTTAGGAACCCTAGCTAGGTTTCCTACCTTTTGAAGTGAGCTTTCCTTTGATTCCTTAAGCTTGGATGCTTCAATCCATAGTCTAGGAATCCTTAGTCCGAAAACTTCTTCCATTCAAGTGTTCTTACCTACGGTTTCAATCTCCATTGAAGAGGTCCAAGCATTGGTGAATCCGAGGAGGAGAACAATTTTCACTTCTCCTAGTATTTGCCATCAAGTTGTCTTGTCCCTATAAATAGGCCTCCATTACAGTAAATTGAGAGTCACGTAGCAACCAAAATTGAAACAAAAGAGAGAAGAGAGAACGAGAGAAAATAGTGAAAGTGTAGCAAATTTACTTACTTTAAGGTAAGGGAGAGGAGAATTTTATCTCTTTAATTTTTTTTATATACTCCTATATTTATTTATTTATGTTATTTTTATCTAGTGAGGTGCCCCTAACCTCATTTATTTGCTTATTCTATGCTTATTGTTATTCATAATAATTATTAATATGTTCATATTTTATATTGTTTAATTACTCTATAATAATTATCATTGTTATTTAATTAATTGATGCTCTTAATATATTTTATTTACGTATATGTTATTTAATTAAAACTTAAATAATGATAAATTCTCAAATTTATTTAGCGTGATTATTTTTATAATGAATTATAATATAATTTTGTTAAAATGTCTTTGACTCGTTTAAAAAATAAATATTGCTCTATGGCCATAGAAGATAAAATTTGAATTATTTGTAGCTGGAAGTTTGACCTTGGGGATTTAAATGAGTAAGAAGTTATGATTAAAAAAAAAATTCTTGCGCTATTTGATATTATAATGCTCATTTATCCTAACTAGTCATTGCAAGTGTAATTCAAATTTTATATATATATTGTTTAATATTAATTATTGTTACGCATGCTTTATGATTATAATTATTTTTTTTGAAAAATGTTCTTACTCCTTATGTTTCTTGGGTAATATAATCATAAAAATAATTAAATAAATAGAGATGAATGTTCCAGCAATACCCGCTCCTTTCCCTTCAGTCATTTCTGCTATTTTCTCTGGCATAACATGGAGTGTTGATGCTCTCGCCAACGCTGTAACTTTCAATGGAGTAGCAGTCTCGTCATTCACTTTTTCTCCATATCAAGAAATTCTCACGGTGATAGATGGACCTATCGTTGTTACTTTTTACTTACCCCCAGCAAATCACGTGAACCCTATCGTAAATTTGTTCTAACCACCTATGTAATTATTATAGAAGTAGAAAAAGAAACTATGACTTGTAAATAGGAATGTATAATAAATGTTTTCAGTAGTATGTAGTATATATCTGTAAGAAAAGCAACTACGTGCGTAGTGAAAAAAATATGTTATGATGTATAATATTATTATTATATATATGTGTTTTCTAGCTACAAATATTATATATATATATATATATATATATTATTGAGATTAATATTAATACGATTAGGCGTTACACATGTAATAAGAGAAATTCTAGTAGTGAATTAAACAAGCAAAATTTTGAAAAATTTTCACTTTCTATAACGGATGTGAAATTATTCGTCGTAGAAATTCATTTTGAAATTAATATTAGACTTAATAAACGCTAGCTAGTAGTTTATAGTATGTATACTATACAAGATAAATTTTTATTTTATATAACAAATTTATAATAAATAAATATTTTTATTTTATACATTACATTTTAAATTTATGATAGATAATTTATATTATGATATAAAATTATTTTTAATTATTAACTATTTTTTGTAAAAAAATATTGAAATTCAATTTAAAAATAAAATAATGAATGAAAATATATTAAAAAAAATTAAGAAAAATCTTTAAAATACTTCGGTTAAAAAAATAACTAAAAATAATCTCATGGAGAAATGATTCCTAAAACTATTTTATTTCAACATAACTATTGTAAGTTATACAGAAGGATTATAGCTCATCAGAGGAAAGAAAAATAACACTGGGAATATACAGAGTTAAAGATTGCTTCGACCAAACAATTCTGTACCAGCAAGCATAACTGTAACTCTCATTTCAATATGCTATAAAATCCTCAAATACCAAATTAAATTTACTGTGGTATATCAAGTTAGACCAATACTACTATATGTATTTTCACTCCTGATATAGCAAAAGCAACAACAATTAAACTTCTGATATAGTGCACAAGAACCACCTGAGTAAGTCCATGTACACAATGTCACAATCTAATAATTTATGTAAAAATTTAATTATAGTTTATTGTACAGTTGATGTATTCTCTTATCAAAATTAAATTCTTATTTTGATAATATGTTTGAATATATATTAAATGAAAATACATATTATTAAAGTAAAATTTTAACTATGATGAAGAAGAACATCAACTACATCTAAAAATCTGTAAATTAATTTTATACATATGGTATCTCATGCAACATTATAAGCTAACTAAGTTGCATCTTCATCTTCTTCTTCTTGCCACATCTCAACCCAATTCTTCTGAACCTGTTCGAACCCAAGAAACGAACCTTCCTTCTCTTCCTCCAAACTGGTGGACAGTGTCCCATACGCAATCCCAATACTGGAAGCTCCGAATGTCAAGAGTGTTGTGACGAAGGGCAACCACAATGGGGCATCGTAGACTTTGTTTTCCTTAAGCTCCCCGAAGAGGTGCAAGAAGGCCAAACCCAACCCCATTGGCACCACAACGGAGACCAAGATCCTGCGAATTATCCTGTACATAACTGACGTTGGAAGGTCCTCATCGTCCTTGTTTTTCTTTCTCATGGGCTTCTCCTTCTTGTCAACATCACTTGCAACGGATGGAGAAGAAAAGCCCTTAGCACTCGCACGTGGTGGCTTTGATGTGATCAAGGGTTGCTTGAGTTTTTCTGCATGAATAAGTGGCAAGTTTTGTTTCCTTGGAGAAGGTTTTGAGAGATTGAGAGTGGCGTTTGGTGCACAAATTATGAGAGTTTTCATGGCTTCTGTGGATGTGTTTGGTTGGAGAAGGGATATTTTATTGATGTATATCTTATCCATAAAGTAAATGGATGGTCTTGAACCTCATGGTTTTATGTCTATATGTGTATCATCTAAGATTTTTGTTATAACTTGGAACAATATGAATGTTTCTAAATTCAATTTCGTTTTATAAACCTTTTATTTATTTATTATTTGATAGGTTTAATTTAGTTTTTTATTATTAAAATTTTAATTTACTTTGTTAATTTTCAAAAATAAAGTAATATTGTCGTCATTATTTAATAAGGAGAGACCACGTTAATTCCTTGTACAAGTAGCGAGTATATGCCTTTTTTTTTATTTTATATAATTATGTTAGATGTATAATAAATTGAAGTCATTTATTTCAAGTTAAATGAAAGAACAGCATTGCATTATTTTTTAAATTTTAAAAATCAAATTAGACATTTTTATAAATAAGAGACAAAATCATTCTTTTTAATAAACAATATCAAATCAATGTCTAAACTTTATTACTTAAATAATATTAATTATCATAAAAATATGAAAATTTGTTGTTATTATGTAATTAAAGTAGATAAATTGTAACAAAAAGGTAAATAAATATTTAACTTTAAAAAAATGTTAAACTTAAATATATTTTAAGTTTCTAAATATCGTTATATTTTATTTTAGTTCTTAAGAAAATAGTTAATTTTAGATATTTTTGACATTTTCTTTGTGCTTTAGTTTAGTTTTACTAACTCTAATTAGTTAAGTCTTAAAATAGCTATAAAAAAAATCAAAGCATATCAATTAATTAATGTATTAAATTGAGATTTTAAAATAATATTATATCATATAAAGTCTTATTAATTTTAAAAGACTTTGAGTATATTTAGTAATGTATTGGGGAATTTATAAACACTTTTGACCAGTTTATAAGTTAGTTTAATTAAAATAAATTTTTTTTTTCTTCATAAAAGAACTTATTTTAAGTGCTTAGCTTTTTTTTTTCTTTTCTTTTTTTCTTTTTTATCATTGTTAATTTACTTAAAATCTTTTTTTTTACCCTTTTTAATTTAGAATCTATTTTTCCTTTATGTAATCCTCTTATTCTCATTATTATTTAAACAAATGTTTTATTTTACATTGATGAATAAAACAAATTGAGAGTCTTTAGTAAACAATTAGAACCTCTCAAAATCACTTCCAAGAAAAAAAAAACCTTTATTAGAAATGAATTAAAAAAAAAAAAACTAAAGCTATGAATTAAAAAATGTAAACAAGTCTTCAAGTTTTCTCCCACACAATGAACAAATTCTTTACTATAAGAGAGCTTCTAGTTTTTTTCTCTTCTCTAAAGTGTTTGGTCTTCAAAATCTTCCTAAAGATAGACTTCACTAAGGAGCAAATCCTTCTAGATTTTATCGACATTCAAAAATACTACCTTGTGACAAGTGTCTTGATTATTATCACTAAAAAATTTAAAACAACATTAGAGAAATTTTTAGAAAATAAATAATAAAAGCACAATTAAAAGTAAGCTAAATTCAAAATAAATAATGTTATAAGAAATTAGACAAGCAAAAATCAAGGTACAATTTGAAAGTTAGAACATAAAAAAGGAATAGTTCTATGATTGATTATAGAATTGAATTAAAAAAACAATAAAGACTCAAATCCACTTCCAAATTAAATACAAAGTTGAATAAAAGGAAATTTGACATATTTTTGAATTGCTTTTCACAAAATGTTCTCTATATTCTTTTTATCACCAAAATATATATATATATATATATATATATATATATTCCTTTATATTTTACAAAATTGTTTTTCTTTCTTTTGGAGCTATTTTTTTCAACTATTTTTCTTTTGTTCTAGTTGTTATAATTTTGTCACAAAATGTTCCAAAACAAGAACTCAAAATTGCAAAAAAGTTTAAAAGTAGACAAAATCAAAATGACTTAAAAATTGGTGAACAATATTGCTACACTACACTTATTTTCACTTAGGCCTTTACTTTCAAAACTTTTTGAAATTCAAAGAAAGTTCAAGAAATGTTTTCCTACTGAGAGTTTAAAATATTCACAAAAATTTAAAATCAAATTGAATCACAAAAAATTCTAGAAAACAAGAAATAGTAAAAACTAATATATATATATATATATATATATATATATATATATATATATAACTCTAATT